AAATGTACATCCACTTCCTGCTGATTCAGATCAACATGAGGAACCTGAAGTATGAAGAGAGCGATCCAGAGAAACTCCTGCAGTCCGACAGAAAAGTGATTGTGAAACTTGCTGAAGTGGCTTTCAATCAGCTGATGAAGGGCAATGTGATGTTCTATGAGGAGGACCTGATTGAGAGCAGCATAGACCTTACTGATGCCTCAGTGTATTCTGGGATTTGCACTGAGATCCTTAAGGAGGAGTCTGTGATTCATCAGAGGAAAGTCTACAGCTTCATTCATCTGAGTGTTCAGGAGTTTCTTGCTGCTTTCCATGTGTTTTACTACCACATAAGCTGCACAAAACATACACAAGCATGTTTTGATTCACTGCACAAACTCTATGAAAGAGTATTAGACAAAGACCTTGAGAGTGAGAATGGACACCTGGATCTGTTCCTGCGGTTCCTGCTGGGTGTCTCACTGGAGTCCAATCAGAGACTCTTACAGGATTTATTGATACACACAGAAAACAGCTCAGAGAGCATCAGGAGAACCACACAGTACATTAAAGAGAAGATCAAAGATGAACATGGACTCTCCACTGAAAGATCCATCAATCTGTTCCTCTGTCTGCTGGAAGTCAAAGATCGGACTCTGTCCAGAGAGATTCAGGAGTTTGTGAAATCAGACAAACACTCAGAGAAGAAACTCTCTCCTGCTCACTGCTCAACAATCGCCTACATGCTTCAGATGTCAGAGGAGCCGCTGGATGAGCTGGACCTCAAGAAATACAACACATCAGGTGAGGGCAGAAGAAGACTGATACCAGCTGTGAGCAACTGCAGAAAAGCCCTGTAAGTGTTTAATCATGTATTAATCAAAATTCCTTATGAAAGGCATTACAGTTTCTCTGCCAAGTAATACATCTTGTGTCTAATTTCAGAATGGAGTGAAGCTGATATTAGTCAAATATTAGTTGTAGAAAGATGATAAGGATTTAATTCTCATGCGTTTTTCCCTTTTTCAGTCTTGTTGGCTGCAATCTCACTGCTCAGGATTGTGAAGTTGTGTCTTCAGCTCTACAATCCTCAAACTGTGTCCTGAGAGAGCTGGATCTGAGTAACAATGACCTGCAGGATTCAGGAGTGAAGCTGCTCTCCGATGCACTGAAGAGTCCAAACTGTCAGCTGCAGATACTGAGGTTTTAAGAGCCTATAAGGGGCAAAGTATAGTTAGTCGGTCATAATGTTGATGTGTGTCTGTAGTTGATCTGACTGTGTGTCTGTAGGATGTCTGGCTGTATGGTGACAGAGGAAGGCTGTGGTTATTTGTCTTCAGCTCTGAGTTCAAACCCCTCACACCTGAGAGAGCTGGATCTGAGCTACAATCACCCAGGACACTCAGGAGTCCAGCTGCTCAGATACAAACTGGAGGATCCAGACTATAAACTGCAGATACTCAAGTATGTTTATCAGTAAAAGTATAATCTGGTTTTACAGTAGATTGCTAAATAATGTTAAACTCGGCTGATAAAAAAAGGTTGAACAAACTGTGAATCATGTCTACTTGAAATGAAATGCCTAATTAAATTATTACCAAATACATAGTGCATGTCACTTCATGTTACTCATGTTAATTTCTATAGTGTTTCATACAATACAGATTGATTTAAAGAGGCTTCGCAGTAATACACAAGAAAATAACATGTTAATGTTACAAAGATGTTAAATGGTACTGTAATCCAGCTCTATAGAGAATAACAGTGTCATTATTTAGATCGGTGTGTGCATGTCTGTGCATGTGTGTGTTTGGGTTGTATGTGTATCATAAGTCATATATGTGACTGCATGTGAGACAAGGGTCATCTAATGCTGGGTTTAGACTTCCCAATATTTTTGTCACAGATGTGATGGATTATATAGGATAAAAAAAACATCGCAGACACAGCAACGCCTGTCATTCACTATGACATACTGTATAAGATAAAGTGATCAATTGTTGCATTTCCCATGAACATTTCAGAATATTTATGAATCACCACAACACTCTACATCAAATGGATTGTGCCAAAATTGAATTGAAAATTTTATCTTGTGCACGTAGAACCCAGCATAACAGAGGGGGGGGGGGGGGACCTTCATTATTTTAATTGTGCCACTATCTATTTTACAAAATAGTAAAACTATTTCATTTCATAGTTATCACTCTATAGAACATTATTTGTTAGCTGGCAAAAACAAAACAAGACCATCTCACGCACTGAAAATGTTAGAAACTCTCAGTAGTGTTGTTCAGTCTTATATGTTTGAACTGGAATCGGTTTAAAAGTCAGTCATCTGATAAAAAATAATGATATAGCTGGTCTCATGGTACCCTCACGTGCTATCAATTTATAACTTTCTAAGTCTCACTTATGATTATTAGCTCGACAAATTCAAGCGGTCGATCGACTTCACTTTGCTTTCATATGCAATTTTTAATGACCACATTCCTATTCACGCTCATTCTGGCAGCACATGAGGGCAGCATCAGTGAAAACAGGCAGAGACGATGGTAGCTTTAGCAACATTAGCCTTACAGAGTGCCAAGAAGCTCTTTCAGAAAGAGAATTTGAAAAACAAACACATTATACTTTGTCTGGAGCTGACATTGTAACGGCCACCTAATCTTGAACGTTATTCATGTTAGTGTCCCTTTAAATATGTTTTGCTGTATGTTTGAGCGCTGTTCCGTGAGTGTGCACATACAGAGAAAGTAGGAGAGAGCTTGAGTTAAGATGGTCGCTCTACCTCTGTGCATTGTGTTTTTATTTTCTTTTTTTTTATTGAGCAGAATGAAACATAGATTAACAGCAACAACTTGATGTAATGACCTACAGGTGCATCTCAATAAATTAGAATGTCGTGGAAAAGTTCATTTATTTCAGTAATTCAACTCAAATTGTGAAACTCGTGTATTAAATAAATTCAATGCACACAGACTGAAGTAGTTTAAGTCTTTGGTTCTTTTAATTGTGATGATTTTGGCTCACATTTAACAAAACCCACCAATTCACTATCTCAACAAATTAGAATATGGTGACATGCCAATCAGCTAATCAACTCAAAACACCTGCAAAGGTTTCCTGAGCCTTCAAAATGGTCTCTCAGTTAGGTTCACTAGGCTACACAATCATGGGGAAGACTGCTGATCTGACAGTTGTCCAGAAGACAATCATTGACACCCTTCATAAGGAGGGTAAGCCACAAACATTCATTGCCAAATACGCTATGTATTAAGTAGACATTTTAAATAGTAACAATATTAAAATATAATATTATACAGCAAAAATGGTTTCATTCTGATCTTATTTTCACCCACTGCAGCCACACAACTATGTTCAAACACCTTATAAAAGTGATTTTAACATTAATAAATTGACAAATTCACATGCATATTTCAAAGCCAGTACTTTACATTTAAAAGTGTAACCCGGCAATTTCTCTCTCCAAAATAAATAAATAAATAAAAATCCTGTTGTCACGCAATTACTTCTGTTTTTTTACTGAGGGTAGGAAGGGTGCATTTCAAGGTCGCATTTGAAGGAGCCTTCGTGACAC